TATATAGTAGTATATATAGTAGCGAAATTCCGACAGATGTTCGTAGTTGTTTTTCTGCTCGCACATGTGTCAAACATATGAAGTGTCGTACATTAAGTGAAAGCTAAAATTTGTGCTGACATTTTAAGAAAGTATTTATCGAGATCCGTGACATATACGAAGTTATATTTTGAACATGGAAGGAAAAAACGTTTATTTTCGGTGTATTTCGCTTTTTTATTTTCGAAAAGGCAAAAACGCGTCGCAAACTCATAAAAAGATATGCGCCGTGTACGGAGAGAATGCCGTAAGCGAAAGTGTGTGTCGGAAGTGATTTGCGAAATTTCATTGTGGAGATTTTGATCTCGCTCTGATCGACCAGTCACTACTGATGTCGAACAAATCAAGGCTTTAATCGACTCCAACCGGCATTTGACGACTACAGAGATCGGACATAATCTCAACATTGACCAATCAACTGTTTCGAGACATTTACGGAAGCTTGGGATGGTAAATAAACTTGATGTTGGGTGCCGCATGAACTGAGCAAAAAGAATTTAATGGACCGAATTTCAGCTTGCGATTCGGTGTTTAAATGCCATCAAAATGAACCATTTTTAAAGCGAATGATCACTGGCGATGAAAAGTGGATTGTCCACAACAATGTCAGTCAAAAAAGATCATGGTCGAAGCGTTGGGAGGCTGCTCAGACGGTCGCAAAAGCTGGATTACACCCGAAGAAGATCATGCTCAGTATCTAGTGGGATTGGAAAGGAATCGTTTATTATGAACTACTGCCATCCAATAAAATGATTGATTCGACCAAATACTGCTCACAACTGGCCAAATTAAAGCAAGCAATCGATCAGAAACGGCCCGAATTGGCGAACAGAAAGGGCGTTGTGTTCCACCAGGACATCGCTAGACCACATGTTTCTCTGATGACCGACAGAAGTTATTGCGACTTGGGATATTTTGGTACACTCATCATATAGTCCGGACCTTGCACCTTCGAATATCTATCACTTGTTCCGGATGCTATAGAACAATTTGAATAATAAAACCTTCAGTTCCCTGGATGTCCTTAAAAATCACTTGGACTTCTTTCTTTGCTCAAAAATTTCAGGACTTCTATGAAAGAGGGATAATGAAGCTTGTAGAGAGATGGCAGAAAGTCACAGAATGGAACATATTATTGATTAAAATCGTTTTTTTTTGCTAAATATTTTGCGTTTGAAATTTACTCAATTTTCGCTACAGAATTATGCATAGACAATATTTTATAATATTTTCATAATGTATTTGTGCGGTTTATTTTATAATAAATATGTTTATTTTGTATATAATGTTTACCTTTGTCTTTATTAATTTTACATACCTACTTAATTATCTAATTATCATTTAATATCTATTTCAAAGAAGTGAATTTCAAACTATTGAAAAGATTACATGTATATGGGTAAGTCACTCACAGCGCTTG